CCATGGTGAGGGGCTCGGTGAGTGTGGGCAGAGGCTGCAGAGGACAGAAAGGGCCCACCTGAGACCCCGCTCCAAGTGGCAGTGAGCAGCGGTGTTGAGGGGTCACTAGGACCCTGCCCGTCTCTGTCCCCAGCCAGCCTCCCTTCACTGCCCAGGACTGACCAGGCTTGCCCTGGACAGCCTTCCACACCCCCTATAATTCACCACCCCGCCTGCAGTGTAAATGAAATGTTTTCACTGCAGAAATACAAAGGGCGGGGTGGGAATGAAGTCACACCGTAGGAAGGAAGATGGCAGCTTAGACCCATAAGAAGGAATAAAGAGACCCAAGAGGAGGATCAATATTTAAAGACGAGATGAATATATTTGGGCTGCTTCTGTGGGCTTCTGTCAAAGACACGACAGCATATGAAGCCGTGACCCCCGCAGCGGGCAGTGGGTTTGTAGTTCATTACACGTGCAACCGCAGACCACGGCTCCGCGGAGGAAGCGGGGTGGGAAGCGGGCCCTGATCCGTGAAGGCTGGGCTGCAGGGGAAACAGTCGCACCGGCAGAGCAACACGCTCAGAAAAGACGGCTCCGTTTGTTAAAGCCGTGGAAGCCGCACCCCGGACAGGAGGAGGCAGAGAAGAAAAGGGAAACGGACCAGTCATCGCGAGTGGTCTGGGGCCGGAAGGCGCAGGAGTGAGACTGAGGACGGAACGGCTCCGCCAAAGGCAGAGGCGGACCGGCCGGCCCGGAACCCGAGGACCTGGCCGGGCGCGGTGAACGGGGACACGCTTTGCCCTCAACGGCACAGGAAGGTGGAAAGTGAAAGGTGAAGAGACAAACTGAGACAACCACGGCCGGGGCCGTGGGGCCGCCACCGTGCCGATGTCCGACAGAGTCACCTTCAGCACGAAACTGCTCCTGGAGAGAAAGGGGGACAGTTTATGGTAATAGAAGGAGCGGTCAGGCAGGAAGGTAGAACAATGACCCCATATACGCCACCAACGCAGGGTCTCAAAGGACAGGGAGCAGAATGACACAGAGCTGAGGGGGGAGACGGACACCAACGTTCAAATGCAACGATGACGGTCAGGCACAGCCACACCCCCCTCTCACCTGTGCAGACCATGACCAGGCAAAACCCACGTGTATCCGGACGGCGTGGAAAACACAGCGGACCAACCAGACTCAACACTCGCCCGTCGCACACATCGCCCCACACAGCAGAACACACATTCTCTCAAGTGTACGTGGCACGTTGTCCGTAACAGACCACACGGAGGCACGGACCACACGGACACGGGAAACAAGTCTCAACAGGTTTCCAAGGATAGAAACCACGCAAAGCCTCTGAATACAGTGAGTTCAGTGAGAAACCAACAACAGAAGAATTTGGGGAAATGCACAAATATGCGGAAATTGAACGCTAATTCTTAAATAACCAGTGGGTCAAAGAAGAAAGCAGGAGGGAAATGAGGAAACACTCTGAGGTGAATGACAGAACCCACACACCCTGTGAGAAGCTGCTAAGGTCGTGTGCAGGGGCAAGTTCATGGTTACCAATGCCCATGTTTTGAAGTCTGATCTCGATTAAATAACCTAACCTTCCACCGTAGGAATCTAGGACAAGAAGAGCAAAGTAAACCCAGAGCGACAGAAAAAGAGAAATGATCATGGGAATAAACAAAACAATAGAGAAACAAGTAAAATCGACAGTTGGTTCTTGGAAAAGATCAACAAAATGGACGAACTTGCAGCTGGATAAGAGAGAGAGGGAGGGAGGGAGAGAGAGAGGGAGGGACGTCGGACTCAATTTCCTGGAGCCAGAGTAAAAGGGGACATTACTGCTCGTTGTAAGGGAATTTTAGAAATTGTAAGAGAAGACCACGGACAATTACATGCTAATGAATTAGGTCACTTAGATGCAATGAACAAATTCCTCAAAGACACACACTACTGAACCCGGTGAAAAAATACGAAGGACCCGTAACAAGTAAAACACGGAAGGAGCAGCCACACGCCCCACACAGAAAGGCCCCGGCCCCGACGGCTTCCTTGGTGAGCAGCACCCCCAGGGGCGCCAAGCCGGTGTCCCGCGAGGACTGAGTTGTGACAAAGGCCACCCACCCGGACGGCACTTTGCCACCACAGGCTTCCCAAACTCTCCCGTTGCTGTGCCTGCCACCCCGGCTTGTGTGAACCCCCGAGGGCAGGGGCAGGGGTATTCTTTGACTCCCGTTCCCCACGCGGGGCCCGACCATCACCTTGGGGGAGGCGGAGAGAAGACAGCGTCAGCACCCAAAGGGGAATCTGGAAAGGTCAGGGAGAAGCGGTGACCCTCCAGGGCCTCTGGGGCTGCGGGGAACGTGTGTGTGCAGTGGAGGAGGGGACGTCCCGGCTCCCAGGGACAGGACACCCAGGACGACTTCAAGAAAGGAGTCTTTCCAATGTCTCAGCCCTGAAACCCCTCTGCGCCCCTTCTGTGGGCAAGAAGGCTCCCGTGGAAAACCTTCCCCTCAATTCTCGCCTCCTCTCGTCTCCGGCCCACTTTCCTCTGTCTCCCCGAGACCCCGCCTGCGACCCCGAGAGCTGTCTGCCGTCACTGCCTCCATCCTGCAGACGGGAGACTGCGGGCAGAGGGTAGCGGCCCAGGTCCGCAGGCAGCCAGTGAGGGAGGAGGAAGCTGGGCATTTTGGGGAGCAGCCGGGAGTGTCTGCTGGAGGCCCAGCCCCAGCTCTGCCCATGTACCCCCATCTTCGGAGAAAGTATGAGTGATGGGCTCATGAGGACGGACATTTAAAAACATCCTGACACCGGCCAGGAAGGCAATCACTCGGCTGTCCAGCGCACGACCAAGACCCGGGCCCACCCGGCCACCTCCCGGTGTCTGTCCCTGAGGCTGGCAGGCACGTCTCTGGCCCCACACTGTGTTGAAGGAGTAGGAGCTGTCTAGGGGTTGGGGGGCGGGCACGGGCACTTGGCGTCCCCCGCACACATGCAGAAGCTAGGCCCCTCACACAGAGGGACAGAGGCGGGCGGGAAGCGAAAGGTGGGCCTGAGCCAGGGGCTGAGGCTGCTCTCTCCACGCGGCCACATCCTGGCCCGGGACCCTGCAGAGCCTGAGGATTTTAAGTTTGAACCTGGTCTTCAAGGTCATTATCCAGGCACATTGGTTAAGGTAGGAAAGAACATACTTGATGTTTGTATGTGTCTGGATGCATAACCTGCCCAGGTTTGGCCGCGTGGTCTCTGAGACCCCACTGCGCAGGCCTGTGCGTGTCGGGGGCACATGTCCGAGCCGCTGAAACGCTGCTTTAGGTGGAGCCGCCCTCTGCTGCGTGAGCGGCGCCATCGCCCACGTACCAGTCTGCCGTGGCCGCGTCCTACCGAACAGCAGACTGCAGGGGTTTTTCTACCACCTTTAAAAACACCACACAGACGTCTTTACTGCTATTCTTCCAGGACAGCTGGGGGTTCTCCCCAGACGTCCTCAAGGAGAAAAGTCGTTCTCGTGCATGAGCGGAGTGATGTGGGCTCGACCCGCTCAACAGAAACCCCTGCTTGGTGGCCCGCGGGTCCCCATCTGCAGACCGCCCACGCTGCACTGTCCCCGGGCCCCGCTGTCCCGTGGCTTTGCAGGCCAAGGTCAGGGTCTCAGGAAGGAAGTCCAGCAGCTCCAAGCTGGGAGGCAACTCCCTGGGTTGGCAAATTCTTTGTAGGTTAGTAACACGCACTCCTGCTGGCTCTTTGTAACAAGCAGGGACCATTGTCCTTTCTCTCCATTCAGGGAGACCACGTCATGCTTTGACACTGGCCTCTGGGTCCACCCCTCCCTTCCTCGGACATGGAGCGGGCGTTTTCCAGGTCAGCCTGGCGTCCAGTCACCGGGAGTCACTCCCTCCTGCCCCAGTCTGTGCCGGACTGGACTTGGCCTTGGCAACGAGAGGAAATGACAAGACCTATTTTTCTTCTCTCAAAAGGAGTACCTCCGTGGAGTCACGCATTGGAACGGAGAAAGTGCCAGGAGTTAAAACGTGTCCCCATCGGAAGTGACCAGCTTTCCTCTCTTTGTCTGCGAACCCCGCCGCCCAAACTCACGATCCCGTGGGCAGCCAGCCGCAGCAGGAAGGCACATTTCCACCTTGAGGTGAACTCCCAGCGGGTTTCCTGCTGGCTCCATCCAAAAAAAAAAATGCAGTCGGGCTGACTAATCATCAAGCGAAGATCCGGAACCTTCCCAAGAAGCGCTCTGCTAGGAAGAAATGGTAGGGCCCTGACAGGCATCTGCTCTGCCCACGTTAATCGCATCTTGAAGCATCCACGGGAGTCGTGCACTGTGGGAGCATGACTTCCACTTCTCCAACAGAACGTACCTGTAATTTGGTTATTTCCAAGATACTAAGACTCGCTGACATCTATTGCAGGAGTCAGAGGCAGAGGCGTGAGGCCAGGCCCCGAGTAGGACGGGCAGGGACGGGCTGAGCCCCCGAGTTCCCTCTCGAAGGGGAGGCTTCCGCTCTGGGGCACGTGCACCCACACACTCCAGGAGGACCGACCTCGAGCCTTGGAGACTGGGGACACGTGGGGCCACCACCAGGAGGACCATCGGGCTGGGAGAGCTGTCCGACCAGGCACAGGATGAGACCCAACGCTGTCGTTCTACCCTCTGAGCCCCCAGCTGTAGGACTGCTGTCCAGTGCGGGGTGGAGGGGCGCGGCTCTCCCACCGGGAGCCTCTGGCTCATCACCTCAACTCCTTTGCTCCCGCTATTCTCTCCTGCTCCCACCTCCCTCCATGGGGCAGGACCCCATTTCTGCGATGACTGGAGTGTAACTCCCCCTACACAGAACTGCTCCGGAACCCGGCCAACAACCCCCTTTTCCTCTGGAAGCCCCGCAGTTTTAACCTCCAAAGGAGGAGCTGGCAGGCTTTTTCTGTAAAGGGCAGGACAGTAAGTAGTTGAGGCTGAAAGAGGAATAACACGCGAGTGTGAAAATGAATTCAGACGTCAATGTGTATAAATAAAGTTTTATTGGAACACAGTCAGTTCCCTTCATTCCTGATGTGCTGGGGCTGCCTTTGAGCTCCAGGCAGAGCAGAGTGGCCACGGCCCACGCAGAACCCTGACATCCGTGTCTCCTCTCCACCCAAGAAGCCTCTGGCCTCTGACGGAGCAGCGTGGGGAGGACGGCCCGCCGGGTGGCCCTGCACCCCAGGCAGCTGCGGTTTCAATGGGCGGACCTGGGGACGCCCTGCCTGCGCCTCGGTGGAGTGGGAGGCAGGCACTGTCTGCGGAGGCTGTGCGGGGAGGAACTCATGCTGCGAGCCGTCGGCAGCGCCCGGGGGCGCAAACTCAGAGTGTGTGGGTGTGCAGACACCAGCGGGAGTGGGCGCAGCCGAAAGCAACACCCTCCCGAGGGGTTTGTTTGGAAATGTGCTGTAAACAGTTTGAAAGGCCCCTTTCTGGCTTCGCCAGGTGTCGATGACGACAAAGGCTCCTTCACAGAAGGTACAGGTGAGGCAGAACCAGGGGCGCCGGGCGCTCCCGCGCTCAGAGGGGCAAGGCCACCAGGCACGTCCGGTGCTCAGCAGAAGGCCCCCACGTTCCTTGGCAGCGAAGCGTCCAAACCACTGTTCATCCAGATTTCCTGCAGGATCTGCTCCCGACGCTCAATCCTCTCCGCCAGCTCCGCGGCCTCCGCGGACGAGTATGCGGGGTGCGGAGTCCTGCCAAACCCCGGCAGCTCCCTGGGGAAATCCGAGCCGGAAGAGTCCTCCTCCGGGTCGGCGTCCTCGCTGTCCTCTGCGGCCCCGTCGCCGCCCGGCACCAGGCGCTCCCGCGCCAGCTGCAGCTCCCGCCAGTCCTTGGCGCAGGGCACCCTGAGGACCAAGGCACACAGCGCAAGGGCCAGGCCGATGCAGATGCTGGACACGAACAGCAGGGCAGCTCTCTCGGGGTGGGCTGCGGGCGAAAGGACCGGTCAGTCAGCGGCCCCGGACCACCCCCACCACGCCCACCCGCCCCCACTGGTGAGAACAGCCGTGCAGCGTGTGTGGCCAGTACGTGGGTGTGTCCACGGCAGGACACGGAGCGGAGGGACGTGGAGGGCGGGCCCCTGAGTTCAGACTCAGGTCTGCCAGTCCTCGCTGTGCGACTCCCAGCGTGTCGCAGGAGCTCCCCGCGACCCAGTCTCCCCCTCCGTGACATGGGGCTAAGGGCTCCCTCCTCTCACGGGGGCGTCAGGACGCAAGGCGTTCCTTCCCGAAAAGCTCCCATGACACCCAGTGATGCAAGGAAACACCCAGCAAACTGTCAGCTATTCCTAGTAAACCACAGAAAGTCAATATAAATGTAAACTTTAAATGTGATGTGAGCACCAATGTCAAGTAGACGCAAGCAGAGCTTCGTTTCTTCTGGGCCACACAGTAAATATAAACAAAAGTTCTGGTGTTCCTCTTCCACCCAAACGCGTGCGCAGCAAATAGAAATAACGCTGATTTTGGCCGCGCACCCCAGTCTGAATCCTCTCGAGGCCCGAGCCTCCCGTTGCCCTCGTGCAGAGAGGACTGTGCTCTCCCTGCTTCTCAGCTGCGCTCCCCCCTGTGGCGTCAGCACCCCCACCTTGGGAACAGTGACGCGGCGAACCCCCAACACCGGTCAGGAGCCAGCCCAGGCTCCCTGGGAGGGCATCGGGAGCGGGTCGGCTCTGGGGCCCTGCACTTTGCCCTGCAGCGGACACAGGTGCCCTGCATTCTGATCGCACGTCAGGACCCGTGGGCCGTGGGCGTGGCTGGCTGGCCCAGATGCACAGGCCGTGCTACAGCCCAGGAGGGAGGCCGCCTGGAGGTTGGCGGCCTCAGGGGGAGCCAGGCCGGGAGCTGCGAGCTGCCGGTGGCCCTGCGTCTGGGACCCTGACGTTTGCTCGGCACGGCACAGCTGCGTGGACCCGTTCCACACCCCGTGGATGGCGAAGGCCCCTGCGCCTGAGATCCAGGCCGCAGTCTGAGTGCCCGAGGGCCACTGGCTTTTGTGCCCAGTCCAAGGCCCAGTGGCTGCGGCCTGACACGGACCCGAGTGAGACACGGAATCTTCCTGCAACTCCGAACCTCCCCACTCAGCTTCCTCACTCGTGGTTCAAGTCGCCACGCCGGCCCCCACAGTCTGCTCGCCCTCCTCAGGACGCCGGGGCCTTGGCCCACACGTGGTGCCCGCTGTGCCGTTCGCCACGGCAGATTCTCCCCTCGTGTTGGGGCCGTCTGGAGATTCGGTCGCAGGGAGCCACGAGTCCTCAGTGAAAGAAGGGGGGCCTTTCATCTCTGGGAGCGGAGGCGGCGTGAGGACTGGCACCTGGGGCACCGGAGCGAGGGCCTGACCACACCTGCGTCCGGCCTGGGCCTCTCCTCCCCCCCCCAGCGGGGTGCCCCCACCAAGGTAACAACCCCCCAAATCCATCCATGGTCATTACCGCCCTGCCTGCCTTTGAATCTAGTTCATTGCATCGCTGTGTGTCTGAACCCTTGCCGGTGGTGACGGTTGGTTTTCACCTGATGTGGCACTGCCGTGTTCTCCTTCATCGTCTTGGCCAGGGGCCCCCAACCCCTGAGGCCACACACCGGTACCCGTCCGTGGCCGGCTAGGACCCAGATGCAAAAGGTTGGGGGCCGCTCATCTTGGCTGCAGTGTGGTCGATTCCCTCGCCCCTGCCGGGGCGTCTGGGCTGGTGCCCGGTTTTCCATCTCGTGGGCTCTGCAGCCGCCACATGTGTCCTTTCTTGCAAAGTGCCCCTGGTCGGCCTGAGCAAGCATTTCTCTTGGGAACTGGCTGGGGGGCGGAGGGGGCACTCAGATGAAGTTATCAGGTGGTGAATTCTAGGAAACACGTCCCCAGCGGCTTCCAACGTGGCTGGTACATGTGAGGGGCTATGACGGCTCACCTTCCCCAGCACCCGGCTCGGGCGGACCTGACCTTCCTTTCGAGTCACAGGACAGGACGGTATCTTACTACGGTCTTGACCTGCGGCGTCTCCCTGATCCCAAGTCCCCGCACCCCCACTCCTCTCTTCAGATGGCCGTCCTCCCTCTTCCCAAAACACCGCTCAGGCCGCGGGTGCCCACTCTCTCCTCTGCAGGGCGAGGTGCCTGTTCTCGCACCAGTGGAGACAGTTACGTTCTGTGCCCCTGACAACGACGGCCTGCGAGCCCACCTGCTGTGTCTGCCTGTCTGTGTGTGTGGGCGGTGGTGGCTGTCAGGGGGCAGCTGCTGACTCGGGAGTTTTTCTGAAAAGCTGGTGCAGTGCCACCTATCCTCCACGCCCCCAGCACTGCGCCCCCACCCTCCTTCCACCTCCCTCCCCTGGGCTCTTTGAAAGCGCAGCCAGCTCCCCTCACTGTCCTGCAGCCTGGCCCCGTCCCTCCCCAGGGTCCACCCGCCGGACCCCCTGCTCTCCCTCCCTCCGCACAGGCCTCTCCCCACTCTTCACAGGGGCCAGTTTGCGCCCTGGGGCTTCCGCAGGGGCTGGTGTCTGCCTGGACGTTCTCTCCTCCCCGTCGTCCAGCCGTCTGTGCCGCTCCATCCCAGCCTGGGCCGGGCCTCCTCGTCTTGTAGCGTCTTAGACACTGAATTGGGGATGAATCTCGGAGCATGTCCGTCCTTTCTGGCCATAGGATGCCAGTGTCAAGAGAGAGGGGCCGACAGGTCCCTAGGGCCCATGAGGCGCCCTGGAGCGTGTGAAGGGGGGCCAGGGGCTCAGTCACTCAGGGTGGGGGTGCCCTGTGGGTAGCACCCTGTAATGTGAGTTGCCTGCCATCCTCTCTCTCTCTTCCCCTGGGAGGTAAGTGTCTGGATTCTCCTGGGAGGACAGCAGCTCACTCAGGGTCTCCCAGGTGCCTCTTGGCTCAGGTTCAGCCTTGGCCGAGCAGTCACCCTCCGGCACATCCACGCTGAGCCTGCTGAGATCCAGTGACCCAGGGCCCAAGGGGGACCCTGGGCCAGCCCTTTGGAACGAGGCTTTCTAGGCACCTGCAGCAATGTGCCTGCCGTCACAGAGTCACCAGATAGCAGAGGGGAACACGCAGGTGGGCAGGCCCAGCGCCTCCCGTGGTCCTAAGCCAGCCCGTGGCCGGGGCTGGAGCTCAGGCCCTGGTTCCCACCACAGCACCAGTCTTTACACCAACAGCACGTTTTTAGAAGCCGCTGGACCACTCCCGGCTGTTGTGACCCCTTTTCCGAGTCACATCCGGGAATAACACAGGTGTTCGTCTCCTGTGGTTAAACGACCTCACCTGGTCTGTTGCTGGCCAAGTTTCCAGCCAGCCTCGCCCATCAGCCTCGGGAATCTCACAACAGTGGCCATGGCCTTGAAGGCCCCTTGACCCTTGGACCCCTGGTCTGGAGCCAACAGAAACTCCAGATCAAGTTTATTTGCGTCTAAATAAGCCTCTGAGAGGCCAGAGTGAGGGCCTCTCCCCGCCGTGAGGGTCCAGAGCCCAGCTGGACAGTGCTGCTGACGTGACAGCAACTGCCCACCCCGGACCCAAGATCAGGGACCGTGGGAACACGCTGGAGTCCACACCTTGGTGGCAGGGCGGCGCTGATTCCCATCACCTCCCCGACAGGGGATCTTGGGACTGACTTTGGAAGCTGTCATTGCACTTGGGTTTCAGCGTGGGTCTGCCTGACGCCCTGGGGCTCCTGTCCAACAAAACAATGGTGCCCCGACCCCAGGCTTTCCCGCTGTGGCCACAGGGACCCCGAGGTCACAGCAGCTCTGTCAGGGGCTGAGACGCCCGTGGACCCAAGCCGTGGGGCAGCAAGGGGACTCTTAAGGCCACAAGAAAGGCGTGTTGTGTGAGGTAAACACACAACATGTGTCTGGAAAGTTCTAGTCGGAGGTGACAGGAGACACTGAGTCATGGACGAGACCCTCCAGACGAGTCTGCAGGGCATGGCACACGGGGCCGCAGGGAGCCAGGTCGCAGGCTGCCTGCCGAGAACCTACACGCACCGAGACTCACGGACAGAGAGACACAGAGAGAGACACACGCACAGAGACACACCTTCCCATTCCTGTGTTTTCAGATTTTTTCCCTCCGCCCTTTCGGTCCTGTGATCTCAATCCCGAAGGAATGCGGGTGGTGGGGGTCTGCACGGAGGGAGGGCGAGTCCACCCGCCCGAGAAGATGCTGCCCAGATCGAGAAATGGCCAAGAGAGGAAGAGTTCCTGGGGGCCCTGGACATCCTGCTGTCTGTTCCACCAGCCTCTGGGTTGCAGCATCTCGGGATGAGTCCCCAGTGTTGGTGGCTCGTCTGCTGTCACCGGATGCGTCAGAGCCACCTGCAGCCCGACCTGGGGCAGGGTCCTCTCAGATTCACTCAATCTACCTACTGTTGGGCCGGTTTCGCGAGAACCTTCCGGGCTCACTGCAGCCCAGCCGCTTCTGAAGTCAGGCCCCGCCCCTCGGGGTCCCCAGGGGCCATCCCCTCGAAGGCCGGCTGGCGGTGCATCTGAGAGTGGCCCGGAGCCCCCCTCTCCAGTGGCGACGAGGGGGCTTCGAGTTGCGTGACACTGGCTGTTGGAACTAGATGTCCTGTGCTTCCTGCCCAGGAAGAGGCCGGAGCCCCACCTGGAGGGACCGCCCAGAGAGCGACATGCCTGGGGAGCCCACAGGCCCTGGACTCTGGCCGATGTGCGTCCTGTGGTGACCGCCACTGACCGCTGACACAGACGGCCAGTGCCTCTCAGATGGAAGGTTTTGGCTCGGTCATGGCTGCTGCAAGGGACGGGCCCACGGACCCCTTGGTAAAGCTGGATAACCCCCCACCGGGTCCGTAGAGCTCTGTAAAGTTAAGTCCCCACGAGTAACCAGCACAAGTGCCAACGAGCCCGACAGCTCACGACACCAGGGAGGATCCACCCCCATCCAGCGTCTGAGAACTGCTGGCCAAGCACCTGCAGGGCCGGCACTGTCCTAGACGCTGGGATGTGACGATGACCACGGTGACCAAAGCTGCCCTTGGAACCCTGGACGTCTGGCGGGGGATGAGCACAGGGCCCAGCCCTGCGACTCTGGGAGCGAGAGGGAGTATTGGAGTGGAGATGGGCGGAGGGAGCCGGGGCCTAGAGCTCCAGGTGGCGAGGTCCCCGTCCGTCCTGGCTCCGAAGGGACGGGTTCCTGCCCGGAGAAGCCAGAGCACTGGCCGGCCGCCTGCCGAGTTCCTGTCCTGGCCCCACCACTGCCCACGCTGCGGCCCCAGGCAAACGGCTCAGCTCCTCCGGCCCTTGGCTTCCCTTATGGGAAGAACGGGCACTAGAGTCCCCTCTCGGGGTCATCGCTATGGACAAATTGTGTCCCCAGTGCATGTGGTGAAGCCGTCACCCCCAGAGTGACTGTATATGGAGGTAGAAGCTCTGGGTGCGGCGGGTGAATAAGGTTAAAGGAGGCGGCGAGGGAGGCCCAGGTCCAACGACACTTGTGTCCTTCTGAGGAGAGGCACGGAGAACTCTCTCTGTCTCTCCCCGGGAGGACACAGCAAGAAGGCGGCTGTCCAGAAGCCGGGAAGTGACCCTCACCCATCACCAGCGTGGCTGGCACCCTGACCTTGGACTTGCAGCCTCCAGAACTGTGAGAGCACAAATCTCTGCTGTTCAAGGGCCCACGTGAGGTTTCTGGTCACAGGGGCCAGCGGGGACCCGGCTGGTGCGGGGAGGTCCCGAGAGGCCCCTGGAGCCGTCACTCCCTGTTTGACGGGTTCTCATGGTGACTCTGCTCTGAGGACTTTGAAAAAATGGGGTTGCTTCTGACAATAAAAATCCCGACATCCCTTAACTTGGGCAGTTACTGGGCAATGTCCAAGAGGTGGGCGTGGGCGAGTGCCCAGGGAGGAGAAGTGTCTCAGAGGAAACCAGACGGCAGGCAGCAACCTCGGGAGGGGCAGGCGGATGGCGAGGCTGCGGCGTCTGTGTCCAGACGTCTCTGCACACCTTCGTCTACCCCAGACGGTGTCCTGAGATGGCCTCGCTCTGGGACGCTGGGACGCTGACACTGCAGTGCACCCCGTCAGCGTGGGCTTTGCAAAGGCCCCCGGGGGTCCGGCTCCCGGGGCAGAGTCGGGTGGGCTCTGTCCCAACCCCCACAGTCACAGCCAGGCCCCGGCCTGCACTCAAGGGCACTCGGGTGGGTGGGGCGTTCCACGCCAGAGTGCGCGCCTGCCCCTGCGGGTTACACGGGGCTGCGTCCGTGGGCTCCAGGGGGAAACCAGGGGCAGCCTCGGGGGCCAGGAGAAGCGGCAGCGTGACTCAGAGAGGGACTCTGTCTTCACAGGGCGCGGCCTGTTTTGTTTGCTCAGTGATCTTTTGGCTCAATTTTCCTCCAGCCCCGGGTGGAATTCGCTGGCCCTGGGCCCTTCCCACGTGTTTGCGCTGGGAGCACATCCCTCCAGTTCCTACCTCTCAGAGCAGAAAAGGCCCGTGGCGCCGCCCCTCCCCACTGTGACTCTCCCCGACTGCTCCCCACCCCCCAGGGAGGCTCCCTCCCCCTGCAACCGGCCGGAAGGTGCAGCGCCCCGGCCCCTGTCTTCAGAGTTCAGGACACCAGCCGCCCTGTCCAACTCACAGTCGCTTTCCCTGAGCCGTCGGAGCGCAGTGACCAGTGTCCCCTGACGCCGATCCCCCACCTACCTCTGATGTAAGCGAACGCTGCCAGAGAGCTGCTGACGATGGCCCCGTCGTTCCTCGGAACCCTGGACTCGCTGGGGTCAGCCTTCACACCTGCGGCGGGAACAGAGGCCAGGCCGTGGGGCAGGCGGTTCCCACGGCGCCACCACCACACACACAGGGCTGCACACATGGCCACGGCGGCCAGACAAGACCGAGCAGGGGGAGCGCTCAGAGAGTGGTCCCCGCGTGCGGAGCGGTGACAGGGACTGAGACCTTCTCCAACGAGCCAGCTGCAGCTCAGGTGCCGCTCACCCGCCCCCCTGCTGGGCTTCGCAAGGGCCAGCCTCGAGTCACCGAGGCGGCTGTGCTGGGTGACTGTTTTTGGAAATGACAGCGACGTGCAGGGTGGCTCCGTGTCGGGTGCCTGGTTAGACTCGGTGACGGTGTGGGAGCTGCCGACGGGGCAGCCGTGGGGCTCGGGGGACCATGGGGGCGTCAGGCCGAAGCCTCCAAGGAAGCACAGTGCAGGGCTGCGGCCGCTGCGGCGGGGCCCAGTTGTCCGTGGTATCAGAGCGGCATGGCAGCGTGGGGGGACGCTGGGCTCGGGGACGAAGCCCTGGGACACCAAGGGTAGTGACCTCTAAGCGCTGAGTGAGTCCAGGCAAGATTTCCGTTTCCTGGTGCCTCCCCGCGTCCCCCACGCCAGGCACACATTTCATATTTAGGTGCGACAGACGCCACGTCTGCGACAAAAGTAACACAAACAAAACTTCCACCACCCGAAGCCCAAATTCTTAACAGGTGCTCGGCGGTTCCTCTGAGGGGCCCCGAGGGCCAGGACTCCATTCTGGCTTTAACCAGAGACCCAAATCCCACCCCCTGTGGCCAAGCCCAGGAGCCCCTGAGGGAGAAGGTGGCACCCGGGTGCCCCATGGTCACCCTCCCAATGAGCCCACCATGGAGCCCCCACAGTCATTGGATCTTTCTTTCAGGAACTGAGAGGGGAATGGAGGGAGGACTTATTCCACATACAGTTTAAGAATCAAGATGCCATGTCAGCCATTAAATACAGCCGTTCGCCACAGTGAACCCCTGGTTCGATCCCCAGCGCACCGGCCACGTGCACTGTCCCCTGACGTAGGGAGGGGCGTTGGCTGCGAGCCTTACCGTGGTCACCGTCTTCCTGCTTCACAGAGGGTTTCGGATCGGCCACGGCTGGATCGATCGCTGTGAGTATGTGCTTGGGAACTAGAAACCAAAAAGAAACGTTTTAAAGACGTTGCTCATTTAGTCCACACTTCAAATGCAACGTGTGTAGAGAAGATCAGAAACTCAGTTGGCACATGGGCACGTCAACCAGAGCGGTTGCCAGTCCGAGGCGCTCATGACAGCAGGGGCACCAGCGTGACCCTCAGGTCCCCAGACGGGGGGGCCGGGCCCGCCTTGCAGTATTTAGAATAACGGGAAAATGAATGAACCAAACGTGGACCGTCCACCCCCAGAACGCAGCTGCACTGCAACCCGGACGGACTAGCCTGGGAAACTCGACCCAGAGACCCTGCGACTCCGAGCCCGTTAACATGAAACCGTCAGAAACGGTCATGCTGTGGAGGCAGGAAGCTCGTTCGCGGTTCCCCGGGACGGGGGGTGGGGTGGGGGGTGGGGGCATGGGCACAAGGGGCTTTTGGGGGTCACGGAGATGTTTTAAAATTGCATTGTGGTGAGAGCCACACAGCTCTGGGCGTGGGTCAGAAATCAGTAAATTTTTTTGCTTTAAGTGGGTGGATTTAAGGTATGTAAACTGTGCATCAGTGACGTGTTAGCTCTGCACCTGCACGTCCCTGAGACGCAGTGACGCAGGACGGCTGTGACAGTGCAGAGCCCCCCCCAGCTGACCTCCCCAGGCCCCTTCCATCTTCAGCCCCGGCTCTCGAAGCCCCTGCCCGTCATCGGCCTGGCAGGACTCCTGAGGCCCCACCGGGAGCGGCCCTCCGAGGGCGATGACGGGAGCACGGGGAAAGATTCGGCCACAGAGACCCTGAGGACAGACCTCACGGGTCTCAGGCCCTGGTCCTGGATGTCGGGGGCCACCCCTGCGGTCTTCCCCCTCGCCAGCACCTCTGCTCAGTCCCCTCCACGGCCCACAGCTGCCTGTTCTGGGCCCACCCTCCCCATGATGCCGCAAGCCCGGCTCACAGGGGGGCCGCCCGCACCGGCCACAGGCTGACACAGGGCCCCGGGGGGGGCCTGACGTCCCCTGCAGGGCCGTGGACCCCGAGAGGCAGCCACAGACTCACCGGGTGGTTTCTCTACCCCACCCGATAACTCCGTGACTCGAGGTCCGTGCCTTCCATAAACTACTGCGTCCTTAGCTCCCGCAGAGCACGTGCTGACTGAATGAACACAGACGTTCACACGGACCCCCGGGCACCCAAACCCACCTTCTCTTCACTCAGACGCATGGCAGCCCCTGGAACCTGCCGGAACCTGGTCTGCGGCTCGTGCCCTGCCTCTCCCCTATGCTGGGCCGGAGGGGCCAGAAGCACTAGAACTTGGGGTAGCCCCTGGGGCTGCCTGGGGAGCCTGGGCCAGGACTGCCATCATGCTGCCGCCCACGGAAGGGCCCAGGACAGACGGGTGGACGGTGCCGTGACTTGGAAATACATTGGTGTGCTCACTTCGCTGCAACTAACATTACAGCTTGGACGTTGCCAAGGACAACGGCGTTAGCTTGGGATGGAAAAGGCTGGGGAAAGTCACCAGGTCCTAAAAAGGAATGAAGTTCTGGCACATGCCCAGTGGGGGCGCCAGTTGCAAAGAACCGCATATGTCGTGACTCCCTGAAAACTGATAACCTTCAAAGATCCGCAGGGACAGAACTAGGTTGGGGGCGCCTGGGGTGGAGGTGGGTGGACCAGGAGGGGCTCAAGGGGGCGGGGCTTCCTTCCGCGACCCCGAACCCAACACTCAGTGTACTTCGCGGCTGGTGAGTGGCACCACCTGCGAGTTACACCTCAATAAAACCGGGCGCAAAGTCTGGGAAGTCCGGCAGCGGAAGGGGTTTCCGTGGGCCCAGGTGTCAGGTCCTTCCTTCGTCACGGTGCCGTTTGTCACCCTTCCCTTTCATGTTCGTTACCAAGCAGAACAGAACAAGGAGTGCCCGTCTGGATTACAAACCGGGAACCCACCTCGAACAACAGTGAGCTGCTGGGCTCCGTGCAGGTAGTTTTATCAAACTGGAATCGTGTGGACCGGGCATTTCACTGTCTTATTTCAAAGCACCAAAAACGGTGTCAAGTAATGTGTCACTGGTTATGGCCAGCACTGGCCCACCTGGCCCAGCGCCACGGCGACACGGGGCAGGGGCTGCAGCCACACAGAGAGCTCACTCAGGGCCCCAGCAGGGCTGCAGGGACAACTGTGCCTCTGTGACCTCCCGAGACGCACCCACGAATTCCAGAGCCTCCGAGGGTGCAGACGAGAGTCCCTTCGCACAGGGACACCCAGTGACCCTCTGTTGCTGGGTTCCCACCCTCCCCGTCTGCCGCCCCCCTGATGCTAGAAGGGCTGGGAAACCCCTCTGGACTGAAGGCCATAACCCACAGGGAAGGACAGGAAAGGGGGCGCTGGACTGGGGGGCGTGGCCGCTGCCGGAGTCCCGGTGCTGGGCGGGCCACCACGGTCTCGGCCTCTGGGCAGCAGCTCTGGCCACGGCGCGTGCTTACCGCAGGCGTAGGTGACGGCGAGGCGCTGCCTCACTCCCGGCAGACAGGGGCTCCCAAAGTGCTGGTTGTTGACGAGGATCTTGCACCGCTGCCGTCCGTAGCACCTCTGGGACAGCACGTGCACCGCCGAGTAGGACAGGCAGTCTGAAAGGACACGGCGACCGGGCTTCAGGGCGCACCCGCCTCTGCCTGCACTCTGCAGGCGCCACTTCGGACAGGACACGCCGAGCGCCGTTCCGGAGGCCAGTGCCACGGCAGCACGGGGTCTGCCCCCGCCCCCAACCCACACCGCGTGCCCGAGGCAGCAGGCCGTCTCTGTGAAGAGTGAAAGCAGGACGGGGAGCAGTGGGCGCCGTCAGGGGCCCAGGAGCCACCCGGGCTCACAGGGGACGGTGGCATGAGGGCTCCAGAGAGACGGTTCATGAGGGTGTGTGTGGGTGTGCAACAAACACCCCAGAGGAGGAACAGGACCCCAGGGCTGACGAGGGGTGTGCCCCACCCCAGGCCTGAAGGGTCAAGGGCAGTGGCCTCCGGGCCCCAGAGGGGGCTCTCCCGGGGGCTGCGATTCTACAGGGTGCCCCACCCCCACGGTGTGCTGCGTTCTGTCGGTGTGCACCGCCTGCTGGACCGCACAGGCCTGGAGGACAAGGGCCCCGCACCCTTCCCTGTCGTAGTCCCGGGTCTGGGGCAGCGCCCTTCCCTGTCCCTCTGGGGGGCTCCCGCCTGGCACAGCAGAAGTCGGCTGTTCCTGTTGTTCACTCCCAGCCCGAGTGGGAGTCTTGTGGTTGAGCTTCTGGAAGACACTCTGCCTGTGGCCAAGGTTGTGACCTTGGGCCCTCTTGCTAAGCCTGTGCCCTCACATCCAGGAGCTGACTTGTGGGCTGGTGTGACTATTACACAAAGCGCTGTGTTTAGTGTGTCCCACGCCGGCACCCGATGTCCCCTCATCGGCACCGGGCCACCTCAGGTCAGATGGCGGGGCGGTCTGCAGGACTTGGGCAGCTTGCGGCCTAAATTCAATGCCATCCTTGGGCCTGGCACGATCAGAACTAAGAGTTAAAGCCCTGGACCTGGACCTGGGGGAGAAGGATTGAAAGGAGAATGCCCGGACCGTAGCGAGGGCCGTTGGCGCTGACGGGAAGAGGCTTTTCCCCGATCGGATCTAAGACGCCGTCCCAGTTCTGTTAGTTTGCATTGCTTTGATACAAAGGAGCACAAAATGGACCTTTTTAAAAACATGAAATAAAACCCACATCTGTATAGAAGACGGTTTTTGAATATGAGGGTCTCCAAGACAGTTTTTCAGAAATGTAAAATTTTACAAATGTAATAATGAACAATTCTTTTGTATAACTCGATTTGCCCCAAGAGCCAGGAGAGGTTTAACTGGGGATTAAGATACATTCCCTGAACTCTCCTCCAGTTGATTTTTATGTTGTGCTGTGGGTGGTGGGCACTTTTGCCGTCTTTGGGCGCCTCGTTGTTAACTGGGGTCTTAGCTGCACACAGTCATCAGTTGAAAAGCCCGTTAAATCTCAAGAGAACTTATAATGGGAGGTCTGATTTCTGTGTGAACTACCTGCACTGGGAAGAAGGAACAGTCTGAATTATAGAATTATTCGTAAAAGCCCGACGCTTTAAAATGTTACTGTGATTGTTCTTTGTGTTACACAATAAGTACGTGTCTGTAGTCGAAAACCAGAAAAGCACAGAAAAGCCAAAACTAGGAAAAGAAAACTCCTGGGAAATCCCACCATCAGGAAGAAACTGTCAACCTTCAAAAAAGCATCCTTCCAGCCACGCGTGCGCCCTTCCCTCTCAGTGGGGCCCACACGTATGACTCCGTGTGCTGCTTTTCTCTGTTTATCAGCACATTGGTGACCACGTTAACATAAACCTTATTTTAAAGGGACCAGCTCTGTGTAGGAGACTTGGCTTGTTAGACGTCCGAGTGACTTCCGTGTGTGCACTGTTACACACAGCTCCGTGTAGAACATCCTGAGAGCTGAGTGTTTGCACACACGTGATGCTTTCCACAAGAGTTCCCGGCCATCAATCATTTTGTCAAAGGGCAAAATATGGAGGCTCTGGGGCCACCGTGCTGAGCCGCCACCCAGAAAAGTCCTGCCCACCCCCCTTCCTGCCAGAACCGCATCGGTGCCCCCGACACCGTCTCTGTCCTGAGGGCGTGCGCCCGGCCACGTTGCTCCCTAAGGCTGACAGGGGAGGAGAAAGGAAACCGGTCAGACCCCAGGCCCTGCCGCCCAGCGGGCTGTGGCCAGCGCGACCCTCCGGAGCATGCAGGGCACTCTCGTGACCCTGGGCGTGAATGACTTAGTCCAGGTGACAGGGCATTTCCAGGAAGAGGCCGAGGTCACTGACCATTTGCAGGGCTTCTGTACAGTGTCCGGCACAAGTGACGCCCCTGTTTTTGTGACAAAATCACAAGTATGTCATTCTGTAACAGACAGCATCACACTCAAGCACGCCCTAGGGCATTTTAGGTGAAATGTGCGAACTAAAACTATAAATCCTCACACCCGTGGGGTGACCCTGCCGACCAGGCTCACACGGGCAGCGCTCCTGCCGGACCCTGCACGCGCGAAAGCGGCCATTCCCCTCCGGCCTGACTTCGTTCACACTCTGTCTTCCCGGCCAACTGCCTTCCGCCCCGGCGCGTGTGATAACAAGATGTTCAAGCACTTGATTTTCGGTTTTTTGGCTACCGTTTAGTACAGGAACTGAAGCTGATGGCTCCTCAGAACCTGTGTTTACTTAGATAATTAGGCTGGCTGTGCTTCAGCAGTGGGAGGCCCTGGCACCTTGATCTTCGACTGGAAAGTCCAGGCCTGCCCACACTTGGCCTTGGGGCGGCCTTAGCTCTGCCTTGGAGGCCCAGGGGGCGGCTTTCTCATCCTCTCATTAAGGAGACGGCAGAACCCCAGGAGTCCGGCCAGGAAACGACGGCAGCAGGAAAGGGTGGGGCACAATGGGCGTCCGGGCAGGGGCCCCTTTTCTGAAACCCTGCTTCCCTTTCCGGGGGTCACGCCAGGTCTGCGGGAAGGTTCGCGCCCTCCGGGGTCGGACGCTGCTTCACCGGCCTCCACTCGGGACAGACCGTGACCAGTCACTCTCATGCCTTCCTCTGAGTTTCTCTTCCACCAGCGGGGGCCTCGATTCTCAGGGATCTGACTTGCTGGCTCTTCCAGAAATGTCTCTGGGCCGGCCCCCTCACAATAAGACACAAGGCCCAGCTTTGCCTGGACCTGCACACTGTACGAGGTCACCTTTTGGAGACAGGATCCGGCTGGCTGGATCACGGGTCTCATGTGTCTTCCCTGTCCTGTCATGGCTGTGGGGTCCGCTGTTGAGTGTGTCCGCTGGGCACCATGGACGTTCACGTCCCCTCTGTTCTGCGGCAAATCCAAGGGGTCCGCAGCTTGGCCTCAAGCCTGGGTCTGCCTGTACCCTCACACGGTCTGCATCTGTGTGTGGCTTTGTCATCATGTCCTCGTCTAACAAGGACCTCGGTTCCCCTGGGTCAGTGCCCACAGGACGTCGGTCTGAGCCTCCTCTTTAAAGGCTTGTCTCTTCCAATACAGTCTCCTTCTGAGGCCTGGGGGTGAGGATTTGGCCACGTGACTTTCAGAGGGATACGGTCCAGCCCACAACAGCCAACAAGTTGGCCACAAGTGGTCTTACCTCCTGAATCCGCATGGGGTCACCTCCTCCTGCTGCGAGTCGGGGCTGGTCTGTGACCTGCACACTGTGGCAGAGGTGACGGTGAGTGGCTTCCACTTGTTCTTTGGCATCACTTATTTTGGGAGGAGCCAGTGGCCAGGTGCTGAGGGACCCTCAGGAGACCCCTGTGGGGAGAACCAAGTCCTGGCCAGCAGCCTCCTGCCCACCACACGAGTGGGCCACCTGCCTTCAGCTGACCCCGACCCGGCCAACATCATAACAGTCACGGAAATCACCATCTTTTATGGACGACTGGAACCGCTTGTGCTCAGTTTAGGAGCTACTCGGCTGTGCTTTCTCAGCCCTGAGGCCCAGCCGCCTCCGCCCCCTGCACCCCCAGGAGCCACCTGGGCTCTGAGACCCACGGGCTGCACCAGTCCTCAGCATCCACACAGGAGAAGCACCCGTGACCTTTGTGCAGCCCGGGTGACTCCTGACCACTAGGCCCTTGAGCAATCCTGCAAGGTCATGCTTTTGGGCCAGGACCCCACGGCCCTTCCCCTTCCTCCTGGCCAGGGCCGAGCTGCAGCTGTCACGGAACCCAGAGCAGAGATCGCAGACGGCAGCCTGGGGCCCGGATGTGGACCACAGGCGTGTTTGGTTTGGCTTGCCCGTGTTTACAAAGTTGGGAACATCTCACACTGAAAGACAGCAAAAGTGGATTCCCAGAACCTCCTGACCGGCCGGGCGCTGCAAGGACTCCGGACCCACATTCCAGGCAACAACCACCCGCCGCGGAGCCCAGGTGGCGCCTTGGGAGGGGCCGATCCACTCACGCTTCCCCACGCTCACTCCCAAGCTGCCGGGAGGTCAAAGGTCAGAGACAGACACCGTCACCGCAGGGCTCACTGTTGCCTGGGAGCTGAGCCACCTGCACAGAGGTGACACCGTCCACGTTGTGAAGGCGATCAAACAGGGGACGGCTGGAGGGGCCATGGGCTGGAGGTGCCGTGCCAGCAGGGGGACCTGGGAAACCTCCCTGAGACCACATCTGGGTTGGCGCCCCAGTGAAGAGACGGAGGGACAGAGCCAGCCATGCACAGACGTGCGGAGAGAACATTCTAGGCCAGAGGGAGAGCTCGTGCAAAGGCCCTGGGGTGTGCATGAGGGCGGACTGCTCTGGGGAGTGAGGAAGGGGAGGAGGGCCAGGCCACAGCTGGGAGAGTGGGTTGATTTTCATTACAGAGGGCACAGTGGAGAACTTTAGGCAGGGGTTAACGTGATCAGATTTAATGTAAATAAAATCTCCCTGGCTGGTAGGCGAAACAATCACTAAGGGAGGGGAGGAAACCGGGGAGAGGGAAGATCCGAGAGAGGCCAGGAGGTGGCCTGGGTGGCCCCAGCGAGAGAGGCCCGAGTCCCGAGTGGGCTGGGAGCAAGGGGGCAGAGCCCAGTGGACTTGCAGAGGTGAGGATGGGCAGCCGGCGGGAGACGGGGGTCCAAAGAGGATGCTTTCTGAGGTGGAAGATACTAAACTGTGTTCACACAGGAAGAACGAGCTGATGGCTCTGTGGGGCCGGCCGGCTGGCCGCAGTGCACAGTCTTCATGCACCGTCATCTGGGCCGAGGAGTGAACAGTTTCGGATTCAGTTACACCGGGAAAACGTACCAGGACGGGCAGCCAATAGTTTGCGTTTTTGTACACGCACCGTTTGGCCCTTTCGCTCACCTGCAGGTGAGACCAGAGGGGTGGCTTCCACGTCAAGTAAACTGGGGGTGAGGTGACGGCACCCTCAAGCCCGGCCACGCCCCCTTTGAGCCTCTCTGCCAAGCAGCCCAGGCCTGGCCTGGGGCAGTGGACCGCCGAGAACAGCTCATCCCAAACCTCACCGCACTCCAGCCTGACAGACAGGAGCACTGGACTGTGAAGGGCGGGGGCGGGGCCTGGTGGGGAGGGAAGGAGGAGAGCAGGTGTTTTTTCCCTGGAGGCTCTGCCAGGGCTCAGGCTGCACAAGCCGAGCAGCTAAGTCTGTCAGCCATGGCGTCTGCTAGCACAGTCTCTAGCTGGCTGCTCCTCCTTCCAAACCCAATCCTTCCGGGCCCCAGCAGGTGACCGAATCCCTCCACTCAGAGGAAGAGCCCAAATGCACCTTTCTGGTTGCCGCCGGCCTATGTTAGCACCAGCGGGCCTGGGAACCGGTGCCTCATTTCAATGTTAAGGAACCGAACTCGTTTTTGCAGGAAGAGGTCAGATCACCAAGGGCACTCGATCCAGCTGGGGAGACCAGATGATTGGGTGGGTGGGTGGGGTCCCTGCAGGATGTCCAGGAGGGCCGTGAGCACATGTGCCTCCGGCCACCCTGGGGACAAAGGCACGCCTGGGAGCAGGGAGGCTCCCGTGATGGCAAGGTCATTATCCCCCAGCCTAACGCAGCAGCGGGAACAAGGGAGGGGACTGCAGACGTTCTGAACACGTGTGTTATAGGGAGAAGGGACTTCAGGACTCGCATGGCACTTGCTGGGGCCTGGGTGGTGCCGCTGACCAACACGAGCTTCTGTGCCCCGCCTGGCCGCTGAGACTGCGGACACGGAGCCCTGTCCCCGATCTGAGCAGAGTGGCTGCAGGCCCACTTGGGCCTGCCTTTGTGTGTGGTCTGCCTCCAAAAGACCCTTCGTGACCGTGACGGAAGGCCTTCCCTCCCAGAACACAGGCTGAGGGTCACACACGCGCGCCTTCTGACCTGCTTTTCTGTTCTCTCCTGCATCTCTGTCTGAGTGGGGAGGTCATTCTGTGTTCTTTTTTTCAGACCCAAGATGTTAATTCCACGTGAATTTCTTTTAAAAATTGTTTCATATCACTTGTGGTCCATGAGTAAACTGTAGCAATTTACTACTGAAGAAGCTCATTTGAGACTTTGGGGGACGAAGTGCCGGCCTTGGGCTGCTTCCCCGCAGGGCCTCTTCTCTCCGTGAGAGGCAGGGAGCGGTCAGCTGTTTCGGCGCCGTGGAGGGTGTGTGACGGTTCACTCCGTGTGTCGATTCACTGAGGCTGTCACGCCCGGTCGCCTGCTCAAACACCATCCCCAGTGTGGCTGCAAGGGTATTTTTCAGACACGAAAACATTGAAACAGTAGGACTTTGAGTGGAGCGGATTCCTCTCTGTCGCATGGCGGGCCTCGGCCAATCAGTTGAAGGCCTTCATTACGAAGACGGAGGTTTTCCAAAAAAAGGGATTTTCTCCAGGCTGCACACGGAAATTCTGCCTGAGGCTTCCAGCCTGCTGCGCCGCCGAGTTCGGGCTCAAACTGAACACCAGCTCCTACCTGGGTCCCCAGCCTGCCAGCCCACCCCGAAGATTTCGGACCGGCAGCCCTACCATCACCTGAGCCGGTTCTGTACGGCCAATCTCTCTGTCCACATCTCCTGTGGGTGGTCTCTCCTGAGACTTTAACTAATAACAACGCTTGGGGCGTCTGTGGTGGGCGGAGTTTTCGCCTCTTAGCTCCAAGCTCCCGATGGCTAAGCAGGAGGACTCACAGAGTTCTCCCCCACACCGAACCCAGCCTCGGGGCCCTCCGGGGCATTGCCCTCTGCCTGGACACCTGCCCCAGGTGTCTGTCTGCAGGTTCTCCCCGGCTTGTCCACCACCACTCTGTGAACCTGCGCCGCTCTGCAGCCCGTCCCCCCGACTCCCTTCCCCATGTTATATTCCCCTGAGGGCTTATGTGCCCCTGAAATATGACACATTAGCCCACGTAACATCTGTTCTCTCACTGCCTCCTCAAATGCTGCTGGGAGGTCAGCTCCTCGTGGACTCTGTGGTCACTGAGTACGCCCCGTGCCCAGACGGGGCCTTGCGTTCAGCGGGCATTCAATAGCTGCTCGGTGTGGAATGGACTGGACGAGGGACAGGTGCAGGAGTGTGGGGCGGCAGGCAGCCCTTAGGGGAGCCGGGTCCTCCTTCCCCATGGCTTTCCCTTAACTCAGTACAGGCCACAGTGAGGGTCCCTTCCGGGGAGCCGGCCCCCGCAGACAACTACGTGAAGACACCTACCGAAGGGGGGCAGCCGCTGAGCCCCTGAGGCACACACGTCCCAGTCCCGGGCCCTGCGGCCGTAGGTGGCAGAGTAGATGTTGAGGAACTTGGACTCGTGGCAGTGAAGCTTCAGCTCCTGGTCCTCACACACGGTCTTGTTTTTCAGCTCATCTGGAACAGAGACAAAATCGGGGGCACCATCAGCTTCCCTCGGATGGGACGGGCGAGTGCCACCCAGGCCGCTGCGGGCGCTCCGGGGGCCCTGACACACCTCAGAGCAAGGCTGCAGGAGTCTCGCCCAAGGCCCATGAACTGGCCGTGAAACCAACTCAGCGTGTTGGGACCAGCGATTTCCAACCACAAAGAAGAGCTCAGAGGGCGTTGACATGCATCACGGGAGGTAAGGATAAGCACTGTTTTAACAATGTAATCGTTTTTGGTTTTTTTTTTCAGTTGTGTGAGTATTTTATTGGGCCAAAATGCAGAATGTTTCCTTTACGCTGGGTTGCAAGCAAACCAATTTGAAAGCCACCCCCCCACACCCACCCCAGAGGCCAACAGTGGGACCTTCGTGTCCTGGAATTGATGAAGCTTAAGCCCCTCACTGAAAACATGAAAGCCAATAGTCTCCATACATCAATTTCACCTTTCTATAACTTGTGAATTTCCTTGCCTTTCTCCCCAAAACAGGGAGCAGTGAGGCCAAACTTCTGGGTAACTGTGGGGCTCAGGGGTTAGTTACCATCAGCTCTGGGGCCTGGCCTTGCTCTCTAATGCGGGACCATGGGGAACCTCAGACCGATCGGGTTGGGGGACAGAAAGCAGGCTGCCCACACTCAGGGCCCCTCCTCACTGGCCTTTGCCGGGACCCCAGGAGCCAGCGGAGGTCACTGAGCCAATGCCAAGAATGCCCCTTACCCCGGGACTGGGATCGTAAAGGAACAGGTTAAACTTAGAGCCATGAAAAGTTTTGTTTTCTTTTTCTAAATAAGAAGAATGCTGAGCCTGACCCTGCCCGGGAGGGCTGAGCTGGGTGAGTCACGTCCGCCCCGGTAGGAGCTCTGCAGTGCTTTCTTTGAGAAGCGCGCAATCCCGGCAACCACGAAAGGAGGGCTGACCTCAACGGCCAGGGCAGAACGGCGGCCCCGCTGCGGAGCACCGGGCCTGGGCCTGGGCAGACCGGGTGGACGGGCAACAGAGCGCTTGCCTGCCCCGCTAGGCAACCCGTTTTGGGTTGCCTAAGAAAAATGTTAAGAATGCCTCGGGGCAGAGCCGGCAAGGACGAGGCCAGGAGGCGGCAGGAAACTTTTTCACAGGGCTGCTGGCTTGCTTTCTTTTTCTTCCTTTCTTCCTCCATCCTCTTTCAGAAGTTTTTAAATTACAAGAGTTTATTTCTTCTAAGGCCTGTTGTGAAAGACACTGACCAGCCACCATCTCCGTGCTGCCTTAAAAAGCCGGTTCACTAAAGGTGGCTGGATGCCAGCCACGCCCACACGCGGAAGTCTCCTGTGATTGGCCCCCAGGTTACCGTCAGCCCTCTGCTGGAACCTAGGAGCTGCGAGTGTCACATTACGGGCTCAGGGTTACTGTCGCGTGTTCCGCATGTTCCGTGGAGTCACTTGGTTCCTTGGGAATGTGCAATTCACTGTCGCCTGACAGTGACATTTCTGGGGTCTGAAATGACCAGACCCCGAAAGACTTGATGCTTTTCTTAGAGAACTGGAACTTGTTTCACAGACGGGTTGGAGCGCTCAGTGGTCCCTGATTAGGAAAGGGGCGGGCAGCCTTCAGATGTGGGGCGCCGAGAGCCACGTGGGTTTAGATGGGGAAGTAACCCGGGCCTGCAGGAGGCGGAGCCACAACTCTGCTGAAAGGACAACCGCAACCAATCCCCCCCACCCTGATTCCACCAATCAGAGGGCAGGGTCGTGATCCATCATGCAATAACGCACAGGAGCACGCGTGACCTGCCGTGGGGTGTTCGTTATCGCGGGCCTCATTCACAACCGCGTGTGTGGGGCAACATTAACGCGCAGACAGATGATCAGTCACTTTTTAGCATTTTTAAATTCTTTCCAGATAGTGCACCCTGCTCCTGCCTGCACCCAGGGCAGACCATTCCCCAACCTCCCAACCATCGGTGTGTCGCTGCCTTTCAGTCATTCACATTTTAGCAAGAGTTACTTTAATCTGCTTGTCGGAATAGTAGCTACCAATGACTGAGGCCCACTTCATGACGGGCCCCGTGCTAAGCCTATTCCACCCAGCACTATGTTTTCAGTCTTGACAGCAGCCCTAAGGCAGAAGGGGCACAACTGTCAGCTAACACTTGAGTTGTGGAGCCCAAGGAAGTTTCCCTCCACTGTCCAAGTCACACAGCTGCCACCCAGCAGACAGGGCTGTGAACCCAGGGCCTCGCTGCGCCCAAAGTTCTCTGAAGGGGTGAGATTTGGGGGGAGGTGAAGCATGGGGCGCGCTCATGGGAAAGAAGGTTCTGGTGAGGATTGCTGGTAAAAGAGCTCTCCACAAAACAAGCACACGCACAAGCCCCGGGCGCAGCCTTTGCCAGTTCTCCAGGTGCGGCCGTCCCAGCCCAGGGGGGGATGCCCAGCACTGGCCCTCGGGACAAGAGCCGCCTCCACGCACCCTGGGGAGGCACCGGAGAGCTTTGGATAGTCAGAGTGTCACACAGGCTGGACCTGGGACAATGGGAAGGAAAAGGGGCCGGAAAGTGTGGGGACAAGCTTCATAGAAGCAGTCAGTGCCCCGGGTGGACGATGTCCAGGCACACAGGGGTGCTTGTGTCCCCCTGAAGTTCACATGTTGAGATCTCAATGCCCAAGGTGACAGGGTCAGGAGGTGGATCTCTGGGGCGGGGTCTCCTGACAGGCATCCGCCCTGTGGTGTCAGAGCAAAACCACAGCCCTCCCTGAGGAACTGAGTCCACAGGAGACACTGGACCTGTGGTACCTTGACCCTGAACTTAGCCTCCAGATCTGAGAGAATAAGTGACCGTTGATCCTAAGCCACCCAAGTGACAGCGTTTTCTCACAGCAGTGGGAACGGACTGGGCCACTGGCTCTGCCTCTAATCTGTTACTCATGGGGCAGCTGGTACAGGGTGGGATGGGGAGCCAGGTGCATCTGAGCGCCGTCCCTGGGGATATGCACTCAGGGCCTGCTCGCCCCCGGGTCCCGCCCCGGCTGGCTCCCTCCAGCCCCTGCTCCCTGGCCACCGGCTTCTGTGAAGGCTGATCTCTCTGCGCCACACCGACCTCAGCCCTGCAGGTCTTGGCTCCATCATCGCCTGCCAGGACAGCTGTCCCCAAAGCCCTCCTCTGAGCTGCCTGCACAGCGCCAGGGGAGTGCCCCAGAACCCTGCCCTACTGGGCATCCTGCACAGAACTGCATGATCCCACTGTGAATGCTGGGCCCCACTAGATGGCAAGATGTAGCCACTGAGGATGGGCTCGCCTGCATTCCCCCGCGCCAGGCGGCCCCCAGCCCCATAGGTGGACTCTGCTCTGTCAATATGGCTGGTGCACAGGTGCAGGGGTCCTGACAGGTGCATGTGCACACAGGTGTGTGAGCCATACAGGAGTAACAGAGAAACCAGGTGAACCCGCATGGTGGTGACTCTGCTTGAACAAAATTAAGGAGGCTGCAGGCTGCGGTGGAGAGAGGGCAGGGCCAGGGGTCTTCTGTAGATTCGTTTTGGAGTGGAGACCATCTATCTAGAGGAAGGTGATGCATGGCCTGGAACCTGAACAAAGAGGACGAGCTGGCTAACGGAGATCTCGGCTAACACTGGCTGGTTGTGGGGACCCTGGAAACCGCTCAGGAAGCCTCTACAAGTCAGGAGCCCTCTTCATATCCACCTGGGCCAGCGCCCCGCCCCCGCACACAACAGGTGCAGAGCCAGGGCTTGCAGACCGAAACCGCAGGCAGCAAGGACCTCACACCCCTGCAGCAGGGCCCTGGCCCCCAGCACACACTGGCCCTGCGCGCTGCCATTTCACTGGGGCCTATTTGTCTCCGCTGGAGGCGGGAGCCTGCCACCATTGATCATGAATAGTTTCCCACGTACAGAACCTGCGAGACAGTGTCACTGCCAATGGTCACACTCCCACCCCCAGATCCTTCGGCCCCTAACGTGTGGAGCAGGGGTGGCTTCTGGTAGGACCCTTTTGAACCATGCGAGGAGAGCGAGCAAGAGAAGGGGAATCTACGGCAGCACAGTGCTATCGTGGGCGTGGCCATGGGCGTGACTGGGTGTGGCCGGGGCGTGGCTAGAGCGTGATCTGTTTTGAGAATTTGCTGTAGAGGAAGGTGCTGGAGAAAAGGAAGGGTTAGAAGGGATTTCGCTTTGTCTCCTCAGCAGGTGGGGGCAGAGCAGATGAGACCCCCTGAGAGGGTGAGGCCGCGTGCAAAGTCCCAGGCTGCTGGGGAGTGTTTGTGACCCTGCGTATTCGAAAACGTGTATGTGTGGTACTCACAATGGGATGTATGGGTGCGAGTGTCTACATGTGTGCACCAAGTGTGTCATCTGTCCGTACAAACGCGTGAGTGTGTGTTTGAACGCACACTGTGGAGACAGAGCCACGGGAGCCTCGGGACCCTCCAGAGGTGTCCCAGCCCGGCAGGGAGCGGGTCTGGCTCGGAGCCTGGACACTGGCCCAGAGGAGGCCGGGCTGCCTCTGCGGACGTGCACTGGAGCGCTGGGGGCGGTGCCGCACGCAGCTGCCCAGCGCCCGCCCCCACCCAGGCCGCTGTGTCCTGGGAGACGCTGATCTCCGGAGGCGGAAAGCAGCAGAGAACAAAAGGCAGAAAGCAAAATGACCGTGTGGGCGGCAGTACAGTGCAGGGCCGCGGGCAATCACTCCTCACATTCTGGTTAGACCCGCCGCTACCTGGGGCCTCTCCCAGGCCGGCCCTCCCGGGAGGAGGGACCTACTCGCTGAAGAGCAGTTCCAGGAGCTGCCCCCAGAACTGACGTGTTTCAGAAATGGCAACAGGAAATGGGGGAAAGTGCAGGAATCAGAGAAGGTGTGTAGCCACATCTCCCCGTAGGGACAGACCCCCCCCCCAGGGACAGACCCGTCAGCAGCCCTGCTGCGTGTGTTGGGGGGAAGCGCCAGGCCCCCGAGTCTGGAACCCAGGTCTGGGCGGGGCTGTGTCTCTGGGCTGGCTCCCCCGCAAGGCTTCCTCACCAGGGCAGTGGCCCCGAATTCTGCCCCCAGTACCATTGGCCTCCAGATGGCTGAGGTTGACATAGAAGAGGGTTTGTGCAACTCAGGCACCTGTATGAATGTACATGGATGCATGTGTGTGTAAACACACACACACACACAGCAATCCACACAAACTGAGCAGCCGGGGAGGGTGGGGCCCCGCATTCCTGTGCACAAGTGTTTCAAAGTTGGACCCACGCCGACCGGCAGAGAGTTTCCCCCAGGGGTGTGCACAACAGCGCAGCCTGCACCCCAGACACACCGTCCCCTTGGCGGTTACTTACTAGGTTGGCATTTAAAGGAGACCAGGAGGTATTTACTGCTTCCTGGACAAAGGTCAGGTCCAAAAACTCGGCTGTTCACCAGGAGGTGGCAGGCCCTCTGGTTCTGGCACTCGTCCAGCACCTTCTAGAAGGAAAGGGACAGAAAAGGACAGGCTGGTGAAGCCCACCAGTGGCTGCGGGACCCCACCTCTGGGCTGCGGTGGGCTCAGAGGGGACAGTAACCAGACAGGGAGCCCGACGCGGCCATGCACGGCCGTCGCATCCCCGGGGCCACGGCTCGCAGTCCCAGCCAACGTGCCAAACTTTGGAGGCTCTCGGGGAGGTGAGCGAGACCAGAGCTCAACCTGAAGGGACTGGGAGGCCCGCCCCGGGAGCGGTCCCTGCAAGAGCCCTGGGGAACCAGGAATCCCAGTCACAGTTCCTCATCCTTAGAGACAAGGACAGAGAGATTGATGTTGAGGGGCCTGAGACACAACCCCAAACCCAGGCCAACAGCTAAGAAAGCGATCCCCCACCGGCCAGCCTCGAGGGCCCGGAGCCTGGGGGACTCGGGGACTCTGCCCAACGCGTGGCTGAGCCCTTTCTTCGGACTCTCTCTCCCGGTTTCTCCGGGCAACTCCCTCCTGTGAGGGGCCCGCTGGCTGGACCCTGAGCCAGACCCCGAAATGCCTAGCTTCTCGCTGCCTGTCTCCCCCTTCCCGGCCCAGGCCCTGCCCACGACAAAAGGGCCCCCCAAGACCATTCCTGACTCTCCACCTGCTGCTGTTGGGCTGCATGGGGCGCAGGTTCACGAGCACCGTGTTCTAACGGCAGCTCCGTGAAGGAGGCGGCCCCGCAGGTGTGTGTGGAACCAGGAGAAACGCCCAGCAAGTCTCCCCACAGCCGGGAGCGCACGTCACGTCATCGTGGCCGAGGGCCACCGGGACACAGCTCCGCACTCAGCACAGGGCCCAAGGCAGGGCCCTTTCCCAGCTGCGTCACAGCTGGAAGAAGCAGAGAGACTTCCTGTGGGCGCCGAGTCCCGGCTGGGTCAGCTCGGGGCTCCGGCACGGATGTTGGCCTGGTCCCTCCCCGTGCAAGGCCAGCTCCCTCTGAGGGCGCAGCATGCCTTGGCTCCCACGTGCGGTTTGGGGAGCAAGGTTGAGGGTCTCTGGATGAAGGGGCGGAGCATGGGGGTGTGTCCGGCAGACACACTCCTAACGACACCAAGTGTGTGTGCACATGCTCACCTGGCCTGCTTCAGAGTGTCCATGTCGCCCTTGGGCTAGGGGCGGGGGGTGGTGCCTCGGAGCTCAGGGAGCTGGGGGTCCTACTTTGACAAACCAGGCTTGCTGCCTGCCCTGTTACACGGGCCACGGTCCTTTGTTTGTACCTGGGACGGCTGCAGATAGCCAGGGTGGCAGGGCCTTGGGGCAGGATTTCAGGGCAAGGAATGGGGCCAGCCGAAAGGGGGGACTGAGATAGGTGGGGCATTCGGGGGAGGGACCGCTCTCCTGAGGAAGCGACATGAAAACCACGTCCAGCTGAGTCATGCAAACACGTCTTTTGGCGGCTCGGTGGTTGTGTTTAGCCATCACGTGGCTACACCCACACCATGGTGCTCAGAATAGGAGCAGTGCAGGGAGAGAGGAACAGGGAAGTCCTCACGGTACCGGGTGTGTGAGCCCCTCCCCCTGGGCCTGGGGTGGAGCTACCTCCACTCCGTTGCCGCTTGGTCCTGCTGGAAAAGGCGTCCCTGCCCCGATTCCTGTCACTGGTGACATCAAACTGACGTCTGATCGCCAGCTACTCTACCACCCTGACCACACCAGCTGCCCATGGGACTCCGGGGGCGTGGGCACCCTCCAAGGCCGTGGTGGCCTGCGGTGTGGCCAATGAGCCACACGGGCACAGGGGCCCGCACAGCAGGCCTTCCTCGGAGGGTTGAAAGTCATGAGAAGTCTAAAACCACCTCTGAAGTTTTAGTTCGACCTCTTCCTGCACCAAACCTTTCCCTAATGCCATGAAAAGGACGGCTCAGCCCGGCCCGCCCCACCGCCCCCAAATTCCCGGAGAAGGACGGACCCACAGAGGCTGCCCAAAGTCCCCGCTCCGAACGAGAACGACACGATTACCTCCGACCATAAAACACAAGAGATGCTCACAGCATCTCCCTTCCCCGGGAGCCTCACAGAGGTCCCCTGGTGTCCCCTGGAGCACACAGACTTCCCTGTCCCTGGCGCACTGAGGGGCACGTGGGCCTGGAGGCTGAGGCCCAGCGGGAGTGTCCTGCGGGAGAGGCCTGCCCGGGCTTCGGACACCATCGCAGCGCGAGTGTGTCAAGGGCGCTCTCCAGGGACGAGGAACCCTCCTCAGACTTTTCAGTAAAGAATCCTTCTGAGGGCTCACCCACACCGTCGAGGATTTACGCGGACCGGGAGCTCTGGGTCCGCAAAGTCTGGGTGGCTTCGCGTGAACTGCATCATCACCACAAGTGAGTCTCCAGAGAGACAGAGAGCGAGAGACCCCCATCCCGGCGTCCTCAGGTGTCTGCGAGCACAGTACCTGCAAGGTGGTGGGGGCCACGCAGGCCGAGTGGTCCGCCCCCTGGGCGGTGGGCTGCTGGGCGCTGCACGCTCGGTAGTCGTGCCCATAAAACGCCGACTGCACGCTGATGGTGGAGTGCCGCGGGCACTGCAGGTCCAGGCGGTCCCCGTCGCAGGCGTAGGCCGTGTGGTTCTGCAGGAGTTTGGTTAGGTAACCTGGAAAACAGTCAGCCGGGTGACCAGAGGCCCGGGGACCCCCGCTCCCTCCCGGCTAAGAGCAGGCGGACATCGACACCCCAGGAGGGGCTGTCAGTCAGGGAGACGTGGCCGAGGACACGAGACACCAGATCGGGCCTGGAGCAGGGCTCCACGAGCCGGTGCCCCTGGTCCTGTCTGGGTCGAACACCTGGTCTGTGATGGCCCATTGGCAGGTTTAAAGGCCCAAAGCCAAGACGTCCGGAAGCACCTCTGGGAGCAGGGTGAGCTCCAAGCAGGTACCCTGTGAACAGGCAGCCGCCTGTCTGGAGGAGACTCAGGTGCTCCTGTGCACTGGCTGGGCCAGGCCCCCCTGCAGTGAGGGGGTGCTGGTGTATCTTAGGGACCCATCCTGGGCCTGCCCGAGCCCTGGAGAGGGAGCAGGCAGGGCCCCAGCCCGAGGTGAGGGCCTGCTCCGAATGCAGGGCGCAGGAAAGATGGGGGCTCTGTTGTGCATCAGAGAGTGTCCCCTGAAACCCATGATCACCAGTGACCTCAGAACGTGCCCTCATTTGGCAATGGGACCACTGCAGGTGCAGTTAGCTGAGTGACGTCACTGTGGGGTAGGGTGGGCCCGAGACGCAACATGACCGACAAGCTTCTAAGAAGAGAAGAGACACAGAAGCGGCACAGTGTGTGAGGACCGAGCGACGCGGCTACGAGCCGGGGGACGCCAGGCTGGCATGCAGCCCCGAGAGCTGGACGACGCCTGCAAGGACCCTTCCTGGAACCCCCAGAGCCCCCACGGCCCTGCTGGCACCTTTATTCCAGGCTGCAAGCCCAGCACCTTCCCCACGAGTGGGGGGCCAGGTGGGGGGGCAGTGGGCAGGCGGGGGTTGGCGGGGGCTGGCGGGGGCGGCCAGGCTCTTTCTCAGAAGGAAGGAAGGAAGGTCCAGCGGAACGTGGATTCCTTTCCTCCTCCTCACACCTCAGGAGGTCGGCGCCCGGGCAGCCTGGAGGGCAGCCAGGGACTTTCTGCTGAGGTGAGTGTGGGAGGGAGCTGGCAGCCCGGGCCCGAAGGGGCAGGCGAGGTGTGGCAACAGCCTCGGAACTGCCCGCTCCCCACGCAGACGGCTGCGCGTGCGTGGCTTGGCCGGGTCTCAGGCCCTCTCAGCACCGCAGGTCTCGGCAAAGGTGCCCAGTCTGGCCACCATCTGGCTTTCCCTGGAGGTCGGGGTCAAAGCGCCCGAGCCCGTCTGGTGTTGGGCCGTCCCACGGGCAGCCCAGAGCACCCTGAAGGTGCAGCGGGGCACGCTCACTGGCCACACACACGAGGGCCATTGTCAGGCAGCCAAGAAACCAGCACCTGCCTGCATTAGGGACACAGAGAAGCAAAGTCCCCTTAAATGATGCCAGGCAGCAGGCATGGGAGTCCGGGTCCTGCTTGAAGGGACAGCATCCTCACACTCTGGGTTCCCTGCTTGGCCCCAGGTGGCACCAGGCAGATGGTCATTGCTGTCCAGCAGGGGACACAGGCAGGTCCTGGTAGAGCTGTGACCTGGGAGAGCTCTAGCCTCCTTTGTGGGACCCCAGGACCACGTCCCAGCCATACCAGGAGCACGGGGTCTCTCTGAGGCTGCCCCCAGGCCAGCACCCCCAGGCTGGTACTCCCCCACTTGAATCACTTCCAACTCGCAGTCCAAACAGTCTTGCCCATCACCCACCCCCACCAGCACACGCTGGCAGGCTGGCAGGCCGAACAGTAAACTCATCCTAGGAGAGTGACGTCAGCGTCCTGTCTGTGGTGTGGCTGTGCACTCCGGCCAGATGGACGCAAGGACAAGGCCACAGGGCTGTGGAGCCATGGGCGGGTCGGAGCGAGAAGGCACTTCCGCCAAGTGGGGCCTCCACCTTCCTTCTCTCTGTCTCCAGGGGTCAGGGCTTGGCTTCCACGGGGCCATTTATTCCAGGCGGGGGGCAAGATCATATTTTGACAGACACCCAGGAGGCAGAAGCTCAAGGCTAGTATGCAGCAACCTGAGACGGGGATCCCCCTTTTTGCACTTTGCGGGGGCAGGGGAGCCCCATCTCAGGCGCTGCTCCTCACACGAGGCAGATTTTCCGGCAGTAAAATGCGTTCATGGCTCAGTCCACGTCTCTTCACAAACCCACACTGTGTCTGCACAACAAAACACATTCAGCACGACAGAGGGGGGCTCTGAAGTCACCAAAGACACAAACGAACCTTCGGTGCCCGTGACTAAGTGGGAGACACCAGTATGACGAGGCTGCACACAGCGCAATTCCAGCCGTAGGAACCTTCTAGAAAAGACAAAGCTGTGGAGACATGGAAAGGGCAGTGGCTGCCGGGGTCTGGTGGGATGCGGGGGCGCAGCTGGCACCCCGGGGGTTGGAGGGCAGAGCAGGTGCGCAGTGGGCACTGCCATCATCCATTCGTCCAAACCCACAGGACTCGTGGCACCAAGAGCGGGCCCCACGTCAGCCACAGACTCCAGGTGACAATGACGATGAATGGGTGCAGGTCCATCGATCATAACGAATGAGCCACCCTGGGGACAGCAGGAGGCTGTGCGCTGGGGCAGGGAGGGGGGTATATGAGAAACCTCCGATCTTTCTGCTCAGTTTGGTTGTGAACCTACAACTGCTCTTAAAAAGCAAGTCCATTTAAAAGGACAAAAGTTGAAAAGACGACTCGGCCGCCCCAGGCCAGCAGGACCTCTGGGAGGAGAGGGCCCACGCGCTCCAGCTGCAGGGGGAGGCGGTGCCTCGGGCGAGGCACCTTGCAGATGATGGACGTGTGCCAGGGGTGGCCAGGGCAGAGCGGGTGAGGGGCGGGGGTAGGGGGCTTACTGGAAATATGCCCGGGCCGAGAAGAAAGACAACCTCTGCATCGGGCGTCTCCCGGGATGAAGGTACAGCCGGCCGCCCAGCTTGACCTTGAACAAGGGGCCGACGACAGCCGCCGCTCCCAGGCTGACGCTGTCTGGCCTCCCCTCGAGCACCTGTGCTCTTTCCAACGTGCGGGCACCGTGGCCGCATTCCCTGGTGTCTGTGACTGTTTGGGCTGCGGTCACAGAAGACCGCAGACCCAATGAACAACCGAGATTCAGTCCTCACAGTTCCAGAGACCAGAAGTCCAAGGTCGAGGCACCAGCAAGGTCAGGTACAGGTCGGGTCCCCTGGTTTGGAGCTGGCAGCTTCCTGCTGGGTCCTCACCCAGTGGAGGAGCCAGGGCTCGCCGGGCGGGGAGAGGTGTCTCTCTCAGGACACTGATGTGATGTGATTAGTGCACCTCATTCATGGGGGCTCCACCCCCAGGGCCTCAGCACACCCCAAAGGCCCCACTGGCTAACATCACCCTCCGGGGTTACGACTTCACAACCCGAATTTGGGCGGCGGGCACACACATTCGGACCCCAGTCCTCAGCTTCCCAGCGCCTAGGGTTCCTGGCCAGTTCACACGAGACCCTTCGTAAAGACCGACTCCAAATGCGACGTCTGGTTGGCGGTGTCTGTGGGCCAAGCGTCCCACCAGGCTGGGTTAGTGAAAGCGCCTTTTTTCTCCACGCTCTGGGCCAGAGTTCTCACACGCGCTGGGTGTGTGCGGGCAAATATTTGCTGCCCTGGGAGAATCTGAGGTGCACTCAGTTAAGAGACCGGCCCTTGAACGTGGGCGGGGTGGCCGGGACATGCGCTGTGACCCGTGTTACATTCCGGGGGTGGGGGAAGGCGTAGACCCGTCCTCGGCCCACGGCCCAGGGCCTGGATAGGGCCTGCATTTACCTCCAAGATACCCTCTTTCCTGGCTAATCCCCCCACACACGTTGGCAGGAGCTTCCACGGCTTGAACTTTCCTCAGAGGGCTGTTCCGGAGAGTGCGGGCTGGGGAAACCGCGAGCAGTCTGAACGCCGGCGTTCAGGGTGTCCTTCGTTTAAAGGTGAGGGGCACTTCTCGGGAAATGCCGCCCGAGGAAATGCTGTCCTCGGAAAGACACGGGAAGCCGGTCTGGGGGTCGCCGGCCCCGTCTCAGTCACAGGAAAACCCATCTGTGCAGAAAGAACCTGGAGCCTGGCCAGGATGTAAGTGACTGACTGTGGAAGAATCGTGGGTGGGTCCCCAAGTGCTCTACAGGAGGACAGGTGTCACACGGGGGAGACAGGAGGTTTGGGGACAAACGAAGCTGCGACGCACAGAGAACACCAGGCAAACTCGGCTCTTTCCCTGCAGGTCTGGTCAGAGCCACGGACAGGCAGCTCAGCCTGGGCGACCGGGAGCGGGCGCAGGGCGGGGGGGCCTCTTGCACCTGCCCAACACCGCTGTGCACACGAAGCATCGTGGGTGGTGTGGAGGAGGCGAGGGGTCCCCAAGGGAGGCTGCACTGAGCCCCCTCAGACGGGGTCGGTGCGGGGCGCGGCAGAGACCCACAAGGGTAGAATGCTGTGTGGATGCAGGACCCGCCCTCGGGGCAGGTGATTGGCGGGAGCAGGAGTGGAGACCAGCGTTCACACCGGGATTCACCTGCGGCACCGTGGCCCTGTGACCCTCACCTCCCTGAGCTGTGTCCCCATGCTTCACTGTGAGGGTGAAGTGACCTCACGGGCCGGGTGTGTCCCACCAGCCACTGCACAACTCGGGGTCTGGGGCTGGTAAATCTTGAAGACATGACCTCACCCAGATCCACCACCAGTGCCGAGAGCGAGTGCCTGCCCCGCCAGCCCGCTCTGCCCTGTGCATCCAGCTTCGCTGGCTTGTGAGACGGTCAGCGCAGGGACAAGCGCCAGGACCACAGCCGCCCCTCGGCCCAGAAAGGTCCCTGCTGGGACTGCAGACAAAGGGACTCTCTTCCCCCTTCCTCCCTCCCTCCCTCCCTTCCTCACCCCTCTCACTCTTTTGTTCAATTAAGGTTTAAGAAGTTACTAATATTCAGAAGAGGTGGAACAGGCTGAAATTCTCCCTCTCTTCCTTTCCTGAGGCCAAAGCCCCCCCTGCCCGCCTGCCA